GAAAGTGCTGGTTCACACCAAGTCTCCTTTCAATACTCCCATCCTGCCAGTAAAAAAACCTGACATAGACTCAGAAAGAAAACCGGTATACTGATTTGTCCAGGACTTACGTGCAGTAAATAAGGTTGTCCAAGCTAGACACAATGTAGTACCAAACCCTCACACAATCCTGACTGCCATTCCAGCAGGTACTGCTTGTTATTCAGTAATAAACTTGTGTAATGCTTTTTTTAGTATTCCTCTAGATAAGGACAGCTAGAATATCTTTGCATTTACATAGACGGACCCAGAAACTAAGAGAGCAGAACAACTGACCTGGACTCGGCTCCCGCAAAAATATGTTAAGTCCCCGACTATTTTTTCCTCTATCCTGACACGTGACTTAGCTGATATCAGCCTACCGGGTGAGTCTACATATCTCTTGTATGTGGATGACGTCCTGGTTTGTTCTCCGGATCAAGTAACATGTGAAACAGACACTATTTACTTGCTAAATTGCTTGGCAGACAAAGAACATAAAGTATCTCCTTCTAAGTTGCAGTTTGCCAAAGACTCTAATCAAGGGACTCATTTTACTGCCCAGATTATTCAAAACATTGCAAAAGCCCTAGGTATTGACTAGCTTCTACACACCCCTTGGAGACCACCATCTTCAGGACAAGTGGAAAAAATGAACCAGACTTTAAAACTTAAACTTTCTAAGCTGTGTGCTCAAACTGGGTTAAAATGGCTTCAGGCTCTGCCTTTGGCCCTCTTGGCAGTTCGAACTGCCCCTAGAGGCCGGCTCCGTCTCTCTCCCTTTGAACTTTTATTTGGCAGGCCATACACCGGATTTGCTGATCCAGGATTTGTAACTGATTTAGCCACTTAAGGTGACGAAGAACTAACCAAATATGTTGTTTCCCTTCAAACCACTCTCAAATCTCTCCACAGGTATGCGGCTCAATTTCAGTCCCTACCCGCTGATGTTCCTGCCCACCGGATCGCTCCAGAAGACTGGGTCTATGTAAAAAAGTAAAAACACGAGCCTCTCCAACCCCGGTGGGCGGGCCCTTTCCAAGTCCTTCTTACCTCTCACACTGCTGTTCGAGTGAGAGAGCGAGACACTTAGATACACCACACCCGAGTCAAGCTAGCCCCTAGGACGGGGCCAGAAGCAGACGACTTCGGACCTCGAGGGAGCACCGCCAGCTCTTCCCACCGCGACCCGGAAGAGCCAGAAGCAGACGATACCTGGAAAGCTGAACCTCTTAAAAAACTAAAGCTTTTGTTCCGGCGAACAAAATCCTAAGACTTTATAACTATGGGTTCTCAGACGGTGCTGCAGTGGCTATTGCTTTTGAGTTTGCCCCTTGTACAAGCTAATCCACACCCAGCCGCTAAATCTCTTCAGCAAATAGCCACATTAAGACACTTATCTAATTGTTGGCTGTGTCACAAAACCCGCTCTAAAAAAAAATAAAATTGTAGGCTGTACCAGCAAATCTTTCTAAAGTACTCTCCTTACAAATAAAACAAAAACTAAATAAGCATAAATTAAAAAATATCAATATAACAAATATAAAAAAAGGTCTGAGGTTTGGCATTATTATTGAGCAGCTAAGGGGGTCCCTCTTTTTGAAGTTCTTGGGATCA